AAGGCGGGGCCATTTGCTGCATCGAGATCTGACAAATATTACATAAAAATCTATTAAAATGTGAGATATGGCCATTCGAGTTTGTGGCAGGCAGGACTAAGGGTGTCGTTACGTGGCGGGGGGTGCGAACAATCGACTGTAGCTCAATTACTTGAATTAGTTATCGTTGTAGGTCAAGTTGTGCAGCCTGCCGATCTCAACCCCCACTTCTCGATATACTATTGGTGTGTAGTTGGGGTGGTATTAACATTAAACATGGTCGCCGTCGGTTGAAGGGTGCTGGGCTTAACGGTGCCCGTTTATCGTGTGGGGGTAGGAAATGGAGAATGGCGATAAGCACAAATCCGAACGACATAAAAGGTGTTGGGTGGTTCCTTTTAAAAAGTGATTCGGCCGCTAAACGTACCGTGTGATTTGGCTTGGAGTGTCCTGTTAGATATAGGAATATGAAGCTGTCCCAGAGTAGGCTACTAAAGACGTCAGCTTAAGCGAGCACTAACAGGACAACTTTGTGTCTGTAGAAAGACTGAAGAGTTTAAAGTTCAGTGAAAATGCTAAAATTCGCAACAAACAAGAAAACTCATAAACGTATAATTAGGAAAGATCGCTGTCCTAATGAGTATTAAGACTTATATGAGAAACTATTTTTAAATATATATAGAAAGTTCGAGATGCCAAATTAAAGTTATACCTATATGTAGTAGAGCTATTCGTCTGGACTAACCGCAACAATATCTTTCAACTTTAGTACCAGGCCTAATCAAAGGTACAAATCTCATTGCGAGGTCATGCGAGTAATATCGATGCCATAAGAATCTATAGATACGCTTGGCATGGAATAGTCGTAATCTTCAGAGGAGTACTCAGATACGCTAGTTCCTGCAAAAGGGCAAATAAATGTCAGTCTTAATGTAAGAATGCTTGAAATTGAAGACGAACTCACAAAAACAACTAGCATAACGAACGCAGCTGAATTTTGAAGATATTTAAACAGACTTAATAGTTCTCCGTTGGAGCCATTTGGCTTGATGGTGCATTTTTCAATACGTAAATAGTAACCGTATGTATGTTATATTGTAACAATTTTCGACAATCCTGACAGCTTGTTACTGTGATTGAATGTTCTTTATTTAAATTCATTCGACTACTTTATCTTGGTGACTGTTTTTCCAACAATTGCCGCCAGCTTGCATTGCTATTTTATAAAACTATACGACTGTTATTTGGTCGAATGGAAGAGCTCTTGGGTTGAACTTAGTGGGCCAACAGTTCCCTTCAGCCTGGTTTACTATGTGGACTATATCAATGCAACATAATCTTAACAACCCTAGCCAAAAAAAAGCTTCAAAAACAAATGGTCTAAATTGAGAACTTAATTAAAGCATTATTAGTGCCCATAGGTTTGGCTGCGCCCCATTCTTCATTAAAAATACGCGGCCCACAAAGCTGTGAGAGACATTAGCCCTACATCGAACGTCAGCCTCTTGCTGCCTGCATTACACTAACGATGCCGACGAACTTTTCCATGCCACCCACTCGTATGTGTAGATTGCCATGTTGTTTCTCACTATAAATTATTTTAATCTACGGAATCGAAGCACGAGTTACTAAACGCGTATCGGATCTTAGATCAAAACGGATCGTTAACTGATGGACTTCCCAACCTCTTTTTTGGTAACGACCTCCTGGGTCTAATATGTTGTCGAGTGTAGAATCCGGGCGATGCGGAATTGTAATGACATTGGAGGGGCTGATCCCCTACCCTATTGGATAGCCCCTTGCAAGCGCCTTGAGCACCCTAGCGCTGGCAGTCTCGCCAAAGGACCTAGATGTAGGTTGTTTTGTCGCTGAAACGAACTTCATTGATTCTCGGGTTTCTTCGTCGTTATCTCCACTCATTGTCGGCACCTTTCACTCGCTCCTATCCACGCTCGACTCGGTGACTTCACTGATACACTTCACAATGCAATCCTAATTTGCGCATCGATTGTTTTGTTACCACTTTGGCATTTATGACTTCGGCCCTATGTTCTTCTTTCATACAATACTGTCGGCCATTCGCCAACAGCCCGAATACAGCAGACATAGATATCGGGTTGTCTTTATTTCTGCCGGCGTCTCCCAAAGAAAGACTGAAGGAACACAAGTGGTCACCACCCTTGTATCCAAAAGATCTATGGACTGGAGACCCGGTTTGTTACCCTGTCGTCAAGTTCCATTGTGCGGCAAAATCACGCGGAACTGCCTCCAGCTACATCAACGAGCAAAACTACGATCCGATTCTATGGGACGTCGAAGAGATATCGATGAAGTCCTTCGGCATTGAGGGCAGCGGGATAGCCGTTCGTTCACCATTTGCTTGTTTCTCGGCAAAAGGTTGATGTTCTGGGCCCTGGATGCGGTAGACACTCGTGCGACAATGCCGATTGCTACAAGCTGCTACCTTTTCTTATTCACAGAATGGAGCGCACACGCCTTTGGGTGTGAGCTTCGTGCCTACGAGGTCAATGGCGGCGTTAACGCTTGCTTTCGGACAAACTTTCGAAGGTTTGACGCTGAAGGGCTTAAGGCGTGTTGTCCTCGATTGGCGTCGTTGCCGGCCACTGCACTGCCTTCCGTTCACAATGGGCCACAATGGGTCGCACTGCGAAGGCCGCTATAGCAAAAGGCATCGGCTCGCCTTTGGAGTCGTCTTCGGTTGACTTGTTTCCGCACAATGGGTGTCCAGATTTGCTTCGAAAGTGAGGGAGCCGTAGAGAAAAATTCATCGATGGGTATCAATGGAACTTGCATTGGGCTTGTAAACAAAGAGTTGATCTACGCCCGTGCGTTTGGTCTTGTCGGTTGGTCGGTCTGTCGATCTGTCAGCGATGTCCTTGTTCCACTTCGATAAAGTGGGTTCATGAGTAATATGTGACAATCTGAAAACAGCGTTCACTCGAAGAAACACTGATCGTCACTATAGGTGCCAAGATCAGGCTTATATTCGATGAGGAGCTAGCCAGCAACTTCACGTCAATGCCGAAGGAACTATAGTAAGTCCTAATTAATTTAAAGCTATTGGCATTACTTGCTAGAGGTTCTGAATTGCATAATTTATTTGTACTGTGTGTACAGATAGCCTTTGTGTTGGATGCTTGAAGCAATATATAATATGAAAGTTGTTACAGCTTGTAGGTGTCTAAAAAAAGATGCCATAAATATATTTTTAGTGATATACCCGTAATTCCATAATAATACATGCTTATGCTTATAATACTAATATATCCAATAATATTTCCTAGTTTACATATCCTAGTTTGCCTTATGTACTTAATAATAAAATTATATTTTCATTAATATAATATGTAAGTTCTACGCAAATAATCTCAGTCTCTATAAGCTCTCGGACGATGAGACTGGCTGTGTGTTTCTGTACATGAGGCGTCAAAATTATGTGGTAGAAACTGTGGGTTATTTTTGCGGGGTGTCGTGATCGCACTTGGAAAAATGTACTGAAAAACTTCATTATGTACAATATAACTTATTTTAGATGTACGACTCAGAGATGGCACAGCGGTAACGTATCATCTAATTAATTGGGTTTAATTTTATCTAGTGCCAAAATGAGACGCTATTTGAAAATCTTTTGTTTATAAACAAATAGACAAACAGACAAACCACTTAAATGGGCTCTGCAGATGCCGAGGATTATGTCTCCTGTTCAGCTTAAATACGTTGACAGGAGTTAAAATTTCCGAAAAGACAATTCACTCGATAATTCTTGAAACTAAAGTGCAAGTTTGAACTTTGCTGGTAGCCCGAATCGGCCAAGAAAATTATAGTCCGCTTGCCTGACGTCTGAAAAAATAATTTCGAAAATAAAGGTATTACAGTATAGAAGCTGCTAAACCACGGCACGAAAAGTTTCGGAAGTATTCCTTCCAAAGATTGTTGTACGTATATAGAATGTGACCCAATAAAAACTAAATAGAAATTGAGATTTTCTATACCTTGGCCAGCATTAACCTCAAATTTTTCGAACTTATTCATAACCTGAGCCTTGAATCAATTTTAATTGAATGAACGACCTCTAACCAATAACTGTAAAATTGACAACAATAAATCGCTGTACTCTCCCTACAACCGAACCGCCAGTATGCAACAAATGTATTGTAAGTTTATCTGCTATTTTTATGTTTGTCTAAGTACTGCCTGATGCACGCATTGTAACAGTTTATAAAAATCGAAAATTACGCGATGTAAATTCGTCTGTGATTTATCATAGATGCCAATGTTAGTAACGATTTCAAATTTGTTCTTCTGTCTACTGAAAATTTTCCTGAAGTATTTTTAGGGTAGCTCATTACAATGTGTGTCAGAAAAACATAGCTTAATAGTAGTTACTATATAAATATTTTTCACGTTCGAAGTTTACATGAGAGATAATAAGGATGCTCATACGCGAACCCCGAAAGTGTTGTCATTCGACTAAAGCCGCCATTGCTTATAGACTAAAGGACCCATCTAGTGGCATCACGCCGGAGGCAACAAATACCTATACAGCCTATTGATAATTTCAGTTCTTGCAGAATAAGACGGACAAATGTATATGAGCAGATTTTATTGACAGCTCTTGTTTTACACTGTTAAATTTACTTTTATAGAAACGTGTGACGGGACTGTCACCGTGCTAACTGCGACGTATTCGTAGACCAATTATAACGAGGAACCTTTTCAGAAAGCTGTTCTGATCCAACTTTTTGTTGGATCGCCATTGTAGTTGTGTTGCATAGGCATTGTTTATCGCATTTACGATATATATATATATATATATATAGACGTTTCAAATTGAGAACTTTACTTAAGAACAACGATGCTAGAGACCTTATCCTTGGAGGGAGTCTGTAATGTATTTCTAATTAGATTAGGCCGTTTACTCATGTTAAAATATGTCTCTATTTAAATATCAAGGAAAGAGGTAGAGCATTTCGAATAATTAGCAGAGGATTTTTTATTACCAGCCTACCGCTGGTATTTTAGTTAGTCTTGTCGAATACATGCTAACATAATGATGCGTTTATATCTGTTCATCATTTAATAGTGTATCAGTGGAGATCAAAGCTCACCGCTGATAATTTTTCGGTTACGAAAGCTCTTTTTCACTTAAGCTCGAAATTTCACAGAAAAAATTATCAGTGAAACCCAAATCCTTGCTTGACAAAGATAGCTCGCTTTCGGCAGAAATACTTTTTTTTTTTTTCTAAAATTTTATCTCTCTGATGTAACTGTATGTGCTCTAACTGCCAAAGCGTAAACTGAATTTCAATATCAGATGAACAAGACGTCCCTCGCTTCGGGCGTATCTTTGATTCCGCATCCTTCAAATGGACGGAGCATGCAACAAAAAATTATTTTTAACGGACAAATTGAAATGGAAAATCCAAAAGATCTTTTTGACTTCCTGATGAGCGGCAAGCGAGGCACGAATCAGCAAACTGTGTCATAGCAAATGTAAATTGAACATCTGATGCTTTGCCGTGTCGTGTACGCCGCGCCACGCTAGCACAAATGATAGACTGATTGCCGTTTTCCCCGATAACTCCTTCCTCTCGTTGCAACTCTTTCTGTCGTTGCTGCGACCAACAGATAAAAGTCTTCGTAATACGATCCTATTCACTCTACATCGTAACAACTACACGACCGGCTTTCGACACCAACTTGTGAGCTACCGCAAGCGAAGATTGCAGCGGAAATAGCGTGCTCCTGACGGCGCTGGCAAATCGCCATTTGCAGGACACCGGCTCAAACGGCAGTTAACTGATGCGCGAGGCAATGGTATCTGCTGCGCAACAACACCTATGCATATGGCTAATTGTAGTAGTTTTATTTGGTGAGATTGACTTATCAAAAGATACTAAACCACTGTTTAATACGAAGGAGAAGTCGGACACGAATGTGCAGGATGGGAAGATGAAAACACTGTCCACAGGTTTCATCTACGATCCAAGTTCTCGCTCGAATCCCAATGAAGCTGTGACGAAAAGATTTCACTGGAGGGCTTCGGTTAATTTTCAGGCTAAAGAGATAAACGCGGTGGTCCGTTATGACGTGATAAAACAGCTGGGAGCGCAGAAGATTGTGCTTGATGCCAGTCTGGATCTTAAGGTGCACTCAGTCGAAGACGTTGATGGTAACTCACTGACGTTTGAGCGTCTGGCAACGGATATTTATGGTGCGCCTCTGAGCATTAATCTTCCTGAAAACATCAACAATATAACAATAGTGATCAGTTACTCTACATCGCCTACGGCCGGCGCTCTTCAGTGGCTAGAGCCAGCGCAGACCTTGGAAAAAAAGCAGCCATTTATGTACTCTCAAAATCAGCCCATTTTCGCGAGAAGTATGATCCCATGTCAGGATACACCGCAGGTGAAGATGACCTTCTTTGCCGAAGTGCAGGTACCTGAAAGCCTCGTAGCTCTAATGGGCGCCAAAAGTGTCGCACCGAGACAACCTCGTCAAAATAAAACAACAACTAATGAACTTCAAGAAATTAAAAAAACAAAGATGTTTCGATTCCGCCAGGACATACCTGTTCCAGCGTATTTAATCGCAATTGCTGTGGGTGACGTAAAGTCTCGTCGGATCGGTCGTATTAGCGAAGTTTGGGCAGAGAAAGGCTACCTCGAAACAGCCGTTCACGACTTCAGCGACATTGACAAAATGTTGGACGCCGCTGAACGCATCGTGGGATCATACCGCTTTGCTATGTATAACATCCTGGTGCTTCCCCCGTCATTCCCTTATGGAGGAATGGAAAACCCTTGCCTCACATTCGTAACCCCAACCCTTTTGACGGGGGACAAATCACTTACGAACGTGATCACGCACGAGATTGCCCACAGCTGGTTCGGTAACCTAGTCACAACAAAAACCTATGAGCATTTTTGGCTCAATGAGGGCTTTACTGTTTTTCTTGAGCGCAAGATCCAAGGAGCTCTGTTCGGTAGTGATGAAAGAAAATTTTCGGCAAAAATCGGTTACATTAGATTGAAGGATATTATCGAGAAGCTCAGCGACTTCGACGACACTAGGCTTGTGACGAACCTCACAGGTAGGAATCCACATGATATGATAAACCGCGTTGGGTACGAAAAAGGTCATACTTTCTTATGGTACCTCGAGCAGCTCGTTGGAGGCGACAAACCCATGAACGCGTTCCTGAAAAGCTACGTCGATCAATTCGCGTATAAGGCTGTTGAATCTGATGAAATGAAAGACAGCTTCGTAACCTTTTTTGCCACCACAAATAATTTGACATCAATTGACTGGAACGCATGGCTGCATGGCCGCGGACTTCCAAGCTACGTACCCGATTATAGTACCAGCTTGGAAGCACAGGTGGATCGTCTATTAGAAAAATGGCGTAGCATAAATCATAATAATCTGGAACTAGTTTCGTCAAATGATATCAAAAATTTTTCGCCCCAGGAGAAAATTGCGTTTCTCACGAAGATGAACGCGGAAAAAATACGTTTGACCGCGAATCATCTAGAAAAAATGTCCACAGAGTATGGTTTCGATGTCAGCAAAAACAGTGAGGTAAGGGCAGGTTTTAATAATAACATTCTATGGAGGTTAGCAAATCTATCAAATTTTACGTTCGCCACTGCCGCTAACCGTGGCAAAACATGAATGAGGTTTATTGTCAGTAAAAATATATCCGTGAACGGTGCTGCACCTACGAAATACTTTACTCACGCTTCTTCTAGTAGTTTTATCGTGATCAGTACTGTGTTCCGTGATATATGCCTGGCTAGATCTAGAAGTTTTTTTATTTATTGGTTCAATTGAACAACGCATGCTAAGCTTGCCTTAAGTCCCTATCCTCTACACTCGACGAACGTTCTCTACTTGGATGAATTTTTCGATTATACAGCATAAAACGATGAATGGGCCTTCAATTAACTGCTATGTGCAACATTTGATAGTCTCTAGGATATGTAAATTTTATGTGAAATTATAAAAGATCGAAAACTTAAATAGACGATAGATGAGTGTTTCATAACTGCATGTTTAAAGCAATTTCTGTCCAGTACAACCTAAAGCCGTCAATCGGAGCATGCTGCTTATGGTGGCCTGTAACATCTTCGTAAAAATGAAACTACCCAAAGTTAGGTGAATATCGACTGTACATGATCTTAGCGATCAATGACTATAGTATATCCATGATCTTTAGGCTATTGTTCAACTAAAAGTTGAAAAAAATTTCCAAACTATATTTAATTTTAAGTTTTATAATTCCAAACCATACTTAATTTTACATTAATAACTCATATTTAATGACACTTTAAGCTTGTTATGGAAGATTTTAAGTTTTCACTTATGCCTGAAGCTTTTTGTTTAAAAACGAAAATCGAATAATTTGCTTTTCGTCAAAAGTCACTACGCTGTCTTCCAGATTACTACTGCCTGGTTGGTGTTAGCCTTGCGAAATCGTTATGAGCCTGCCGTAGAGCCGACCAAGGGCTTTTTGCGGCGGTTCGGTCGAATAAAGTTCATGCTTCCGCTTCTCGAAGAGTTACTTCGTTGGCCTGAGCAGAAGAGTGCGGCGGAACAACTACTCAACGAAATTAGGCCGCGCCAGATGCAAGTTACTCAGCGACTCTTGGACATGCTGTCTATTAGGAATTGTTCAGTACCAGATAAAAAGGGCAAGCTAGAAAAGTTTAGTGAAAAGGACCACATTTAATGTATTACACTTATTTCAGACCACTGGTTCCGTGCTTATCATCAGGTCAACACAATTGTGATAAATAAATAAACGAATTGAATAAATCACAACTCGCATATTTGCTAAAGTTGACTTTTGTTGTTTTATTCAAAATGGCCACCATCACAAGCCAGTCAGTGAGCTATCACAGAATGTAACGGTTCCGGTTATTTTGAAACTATTACTAGTTATTTAGTACTATTAGCTAGTACTGGTCAATGAACTTTTTCTGAGAAATTTTATTTTAAACAACTAAACAGAAGAGGATCGCCTGTACACTGTAGGTCTTCATCTGTACACGAGGAGACAAGGTGGACGGCTCAAACAAAAGCAGAATCTGAGATACAGCCCGCTTGAAAATGATCATTAATAAGGGCAAAAAATTATGTGCATCTCACTCTATCAAGCATAAAGTGTCCATATTTCAACTGCGAAAAGCTCATCAAGTTTAGCTCTTATGTCGAATGATATTTGACGGTTTTCGTCTTAAGCGTGGCTAAAAAAAGAAAAAAAAAAAGCTTAAAAGGAACTAGATCCAATACAGATAATAGCACAATTTATTCGTGATTGATACGCAGTCGTTTAAACTTGTACAGTCTCTGGACAATGCCTTTAATAGGACATTGAAGTCTCGTTGATGATATATATTATTTATCAAAACTATTCATTTGGCTGTTGTATAGCTACAATCACTTTCTGTCCGCGCTCCATTGAAACATCAGGCCACTTTATGCCACCGGCTTTAATTAGATTTCTATCGGGCTAAAAACTAGGTCTAATATACAAAAAATTCAAGCAATCTCAGCTATTGTGTTCATTCAGATTGCTAGGCGACGATAAACACTCGATGATTTGTTCCCTCAATAGAATGTTTTAAAACTTGGCTAATCAGCTGACAGGTAAATCACTATCAGGTCAAAGGACCTGAACAGCTTCCGCAAACATTTTACAGATCTCACACCAATATAAATACGAGGCAGTCAAGTGCAGCTGAAGGAAAAATTGAAACTTGGAAAAAACTATACCAAATGAATAGGAATTGTTATAAGAAGTTTTTTTTTTCGTTTTGTGGAAACGGCCAAGTGAAGACAGCGGGTGGAGTTACGATTTTGGAAAAGTCGATGGCGGTCTTTGTACTTATTATTTTTGATGCATGTCTTGCGTCATCAAAATTGAGTGAGGAGGGAAAAGTTGGTCATCTGGAAGCCAGTGATAACCAGACACGCATTAGAATGCCCCGCCAGGTAGGTTTAGCGATACGCTATACTTATATATATATATATATATATAATATTGTATGATACAATGAACAGTTGTGAAATACCAGGCTTCTTTTATAATATTCGTAAGCAATGATATACCTAGGATAACTATTAACCGATAAATAATAATGCCAATTGTCAGCGATACAGTAAGTTCTCAATGAAAGTGTGCACCATAGTAATCATTGGAAACCTTGCAGGCGTCTTTTCTTTGTATGGGAGGGAACTTTGCTTCTAATATATTACAAAAGGCGCTAGATCTTAATAGGGAAGCTATCGAACAGGCAGAACCACTTCTGGTTGGAACCTTTCGGCTGGGGGCACTCGACTTAAAAGACGGTCGATTATACGGCGCCTATACCACCAACGTTCTGGCTAAGGTTCGCTCAACGTTTTTTAACTAATCTATTTTCCTATATTTACCAGAATAATATATACAAATGCACAACGTACAGCGTCATAGGACGGCGGCAGCGGCGTCGTTGAGGTAGCCAATACGTTTCACGTTTGATGCACTGGGCTATCGCTGGTTCAAATTCGGGCATTGGCAGACGGTTGCTGTGACCTATGATTACGATGCCGTTGCATTAGTTCAGTGGAAAAACTCCAGATGAGTCCAGCAGGACCTAGCCCGTCTAGACCTTTTAGTGGAGGCAAGCCCGTCATGCTACACCGGTAATTTTCAATATTTATTCACAAAGCGGGAACAGAAAGCTAACAATGTTAGAAAAAAAGTAGTAATAAAATAAACAGTTTTTTTATGAATTACCAACTCGATTTTTCCGGCAGGTTGAAGTGTATTGCAGCGAAAAGACCATTTACCTGTGGACGCCACTATCAATTCGGGCGCCTCAAGTGCTCTTCGATTTAGTGTACCTAGCGAGTATCGCAGCCGGCGAATTTCTGGTGTATTTCGATTGGCTATTTTTGAATATAACGCTTGCAGTACCCCGACCACCGAAAGAGCCTGGCGCTAAGTCAAAGGTATGTCTGTGAAATTTCTAACTTGGTACGCTTTTCTGATTCAGATTGTATTCGATACAACATCTGCGTGTCTAGCGTAAATCCAGTAGAAATCTAAAGAGATATTATTATGGCCTGTTATGTCATTATATCTTTATTGGTGATAATTCAGTGTGCAACTGCTGGAACCCAATACAGTATGTGGCATAGTATAAAACAAAGCAAAATAGAAAAGTAACTTATGAATATGAGCACGTGGGATATTATTGTAAATCGATGTCACAATGAGAAATCTGAAACAAATCTATATTATCTCTAAGTGTATGGAAAAAAATAATTAGCATAGATTTTTTTTGATTATCCACTTTACGATAATAACCACAACAGTATCGGTGTAAATAAATAAAATGTTGAATAAAATTGGAGACACTTGATATTAGGTGTACAATATGCGATGCCTGATTTAGTATCATGAACACCACGTACTTCTTTCGTTTTCGAATTAAGGACTGACATATGAAGCTAACCTCGTAGCAGAAACCTATCCGCCTCTGTAAACCATAAAGATAAAATGATCGTGCGTACTATTAGCATATCATAGTTTCCATTTGGTGATCGACATGTCAAATAAAGACGACAACTTACGCCGATAATTTTTATACCGAATCGATTATACAAACTGACTTGACTGCACAGGTGATTAAGCTCAGCTTCCTGGGAAGTTCTGGATTAGGTTTCCGCTCTCCTACTCGTGGCCCGCTGAGTGCAGCACTTAGTACGATTTTAAATTTGCTAACGCGCACATTTAGATGGCCAGCTGAACGAATTATCGAGATCATCGCTGAAGACCTCACTAAGGGTTTCGTCCAAAAGACCAATCTTCCATTATAAGGAAGCTCGTTACAACCGGAAATTCGAACACGTTCAACTAGTCAATGATCGATAATGAAATTATGCGAGCACTTTTCTCATGGAATATAAGAGGCTCTGAAAAATATCTTTCTTTTTTTTTCTTTTTCCTGGTTTAATCTTGTCATAGGCAACAACTGCCTATTTAAATTATGCTCAGATAAACTGTGGACTGGCTGTATTTGGATTTATTAGCCTTTAGTTGGCCAATTAATGCTAGCTGAACGAGCTATAGTTGGTAAGACCTAATTGCAATTTATTGAAAGGCACAAGCTTTACCAACGTGTAAGGAGTACCGCTTCAATTAAATTGGCCCATTCTGCTGTCACATGGCCTTTATTGACTGCAGTGGTTTCATAATAGCATTAATTCTTCATGCTATGAAACAGGTAGAAGACCGTGTCCAGACAAATAAACTAAACTTCATACTATGCATTTATTGGCCCTCCCATATGGGCACTGCAAAACCTTTATCTATTATATGTCTTTTCTGTCCTCTATATCTACTTTACACCAGCTGACGTCCCGAATATAACGTATTAGTAGTTTTTACCAAATTTCTCAATAAAATCTCTTCCCTTAATCCACTTTTTATTATTTTTTTTATGAGTTAATGAACTCACTCTACAATGATTAACTAATTTTATCACAATAAAAAGACTTCCTTGGGGTACCCACTTCTACGTGACACGTCTGGTATCGCCGTTAGGCATGCCATCTGATGGCTGGTTCTCAACGTGAAACGAAGTGTGTCTATGCCCGCGTTCAAACCTAGACAACACCGTGCCCCTTACCGAATACGTTACCCACTAAGCTGTCGCGGGGGCCTGTGGTGCCCACTTAATTAAACCTTTTAGTTTGTACCCACATAGCGCAAAACTACAACCCACACAGTGAGCCGCCTTGTAGCTGGATTCCTCCATCTGTGTCTTATGCAAAGATCAGCACATCATCCAACCAATCGAATCTCAACCGCGTGCACCTGATACAACGTTCTAAATGTTTTCAGCCAAGTCAAAGTTCATTATCACTGCTAAAGACACAAAGTAACATAACGAGTGAATCCGGTAGACAATGCAAAGTTTAATTAGACCGATCTGCCTTGTCGGTAGCCGCTCTATCCGACCTCTGGGTGCCTGTTGCCCCACTGCAATGCCAGACTCTGTTCGTACTAGAAACTGTTCCGACTCGAAGACCATTTCAGTAAATCAAGTAAAATCCCGCGCGCAAGAAGCAGCTAAAGCTCACAACACAACCTTTGGTTTTGAGAAAATCTCAGCCGAACAGAAGGTGAGTCTATTGACAGATTTAATAAAAGACTGATAAAACAGGCAAAGCGCCGGTATCAGCTATAGCGTTGGTAAGGCTATAGTTGATGGGAGAGACAGGGCGCTGATTAAGTAGAAAGTCTGTTGGAAACACTTTTCAAAGCAGAAAAAGGAAAGTACTATAGAGTTGTAATGGGATACTCAGGTACTTTGTGAAGGTAGTTTCATAGAGTCAGAAACACCTTCATCTAAAGTACAAAAACTGGTACAGTGTACCGAAATCGTTGAGATCTAAGCACGACTCCAATGTACACATTTGTGGCGATTTATGTAAAAACTAAAAAAAAAAATTATTTTTTTTATTTGTGTAGTCGTTCATGAAAGGTTAAACACTTTTGATTCAAACTCTAAATTGCTTAATTACCATTTCACGGTTTAATAAATATTTACTAATTAATTGTTTCAATGAGTACCTATCAGACATGCACGAACATTAGATGTATGTCAAAATTGCATTATCTTACCAATACATTGGTGATTTTTATTGCTTATATCTGGTCGTTACCAATGAACTTCCTCTAGAAAAACCTCGTGAAAGGTGTTTTCGATTCTGTTGCGTCCAAATATGATCTGATGAACGATGTTACTTCGTTTGGGGTTCACCACTGCTGGAAAGATTATCTTGTTGAACGGATTCGGCCTATACCAGGACAACAGCTTCTTGACGTGGCCGGCGGCACCGGAGATATTGCGCTGCGCTTTCTTAAACAAGCGAAAATTAACGGCCTACGGCTGGGCATTCGAAGTGAACAAGATACCAAGGTTGGTGCGGTGACTCACTTAAGTCGTTCACTAATACACTCAAGCGAGCGTATGAAGAGTTCGACTGGTACATACAGATTCATTGATAACAGAGCACCAATAAAAATCAACTGCTTCCATGAGTCCTATCGGACGAGCATTTAACGCACGTCAGTTAAATGACAAACAAAAAATGCATGTTTCATGTGTCCGTTGTATTTACTGGAATTCTTTTAGCGTTTATCCATTCAAAGACAGTATGTAATTGGCGACGGCTAGTTAATGAATACACGTTTGTTTGCAAAATGTGTGGATGGCAGGCTACTGTGTGCGATATCAGCACAGAGATGTTGGCGGTCGGAAAAGCTCGCCCTGGAGTCCCACCTGAGCCCCACCTGACGTGGCTGGAAGGCGATGCTGAAAATTTACCTTTTGAATCAGAGAAGTTTGACATTGTCACCATTGGATTTGGCATGCGTAACGTAACGCATATGGACCGAGCCATGGAAGAGGCACACAGGGTACTCAAAGCTGGAGGACGATTTTTTTGCCTTGAGTTCTCGCATGTTGATAACCCTGTACTGTCTCGGTAAGTTAGCTCGCTAGTATTATCATAACCTTTCGTGTTATTACAAGCAGCTAGTGCAGTATATTTCTACAGATTTCTGTTTAGTGGAGCACATTTACAACACATTTTCAGTTTCCTTATAAGTATATTGTTATTTTTTTGTGGGAGAGTTACTTATCTTCTATTCATATCTGAATTACCTTTATATCCTGAATTATTTCGATTATAAAGTCCAGTAATACATCAACAGAGAAAAACATATGTCCAAGAAAATACATTAGTACTGTTATAGCTGTTTTCCTTTATCTATATTCTGTAGCTGTCAGTTTCAGCTCTAATTTATGCGTTCTCTGCTACCCAATTCTATTCGTAACCTTTTTACACCAGTCTGTCATTCTTTTACCGTAATTCCACCACAAGTGTAAAAGTAAATGGGTTATACGAGTCGTTTCTTGTTATAAAAATAAGTCACATCCCTTTTGTTTTTTAACGGTCCTGCAGAATATATGACCTGTATTCATTTCAAGTTATCCCCGTGATGGGCCAATTGCTCGCGGGTGACTGGAAATCGTACCAGTACCTGGTCGAATCCATTCGGAAGTTTCCTAGTCAGGAGGTGCTTGCTGACATGATTCGCGAGGCCGGATTTAAATGCGTCTCCTATGAAAACCTTTTCAATGGCATTGCGGCTATACATGTTGGATTTAAACTGTAGAGCACGTTCATGAAAATTCAACATAATTAGACAGGATCACAACGCAATCGAGCACGCAGATGCATGTTTCAACAGACACAACCGTGCTGTTTTTCCAATATCGTCATAGAATGTAAGCTCGATTAGTAACTGACAAGTTAACTAATCTACTTAAATCAATTTACTTAAGTCTCGCAATATCTAAGGTGGCCTGTTTAATGAAGCTCCATATTGCAATATATTATGAAATAAATATAAATTCTTAAGTATCGAATAGTGAGTCTGTTTTTGACCAACTAAGGTTAGCAGTTTCTTTATTTCTTTTTTTATGCACATCCGTCAAAGGTAGTGCGACACGTTATTTACACGACAGGATAACTAGAGCCTAAACGTTAATTGACCAGACTAGTCGATTACCGACTGACACTCAGTGATTAGAAATTTAAATAAAATGTCTTCTTATTTCTGTTCTCTGCATTTGAATTTTTTTCGTTATACAGAAATGTATATATTTTATATAACTATTAATGGCAGCTTACGAACCTTTTAAATTGAGTTTTCAACAAATAATAATACGATTGATAGAATACAATGATTATTTACAGAATCGACAAATTAATGAGTATTAAAAGTAAAAAAACACTTTTCGATGGTACAAAAAGTTAACCTTTTGTTCAATCAGTTCTTGCAAAGAGGTGGTGTGACATAGTGTTATAATACTATATTATTATACCTATTGGTCTAACTTGGAGGTAATGACGTTGTAAAGACATTAAAAATATGTGCCTATAAAATTTTCACCCACATGTGTCGCTCAATTCTAGGCACTCCCTCAATGTGCTTATTAACGTAAAATAAAGCATATCAATAATGAAAATGACACAAGCTCTAACGTTCTGTTTGAAGTACTGTCAAGTATACCACGACAAAGGGGCTATTTTATTCACACCTGAGTTAAGAATACATTTATAAACCTTTGTTCCAATGCAACCCACAGATTTTGTAAATAAAGGCACATCGTCGATACCACGCAAAAATAATATACAACGACGAGTTAATCAATAGCTATTTGTTAATATTTTATATATAATGTATATACATATATCTATGTGCAGAATTCCCCCGGCGGTACGGAACGGCGGCATTTTTCTATGAAAGCAGATAACGTTTGGCCAAACTGTGAGCCTTTTTGTCGAACGCCGGTGATTTTATTTCCGTATTGTGCGTATAGAAAGGGTTCAGCGCATGCTGCAAATAATTTTCAAATAGTAATTAAACAATATAAGTTAATATTTATAAATATTATATATATTTAATATATATAAAATAAAACGCGACGAATAACGATCAGCCGACGGTGGTTCTGCATGCTACTAGATAATCAATTCGACGAGACATCATATGCTCTATAATCAGTCGCTGGAGTTAGATCATCACTGTCTTAATAAGTTTTGTCTTCTTTATATGAGTGAAAACTAGTTACCTACACCTTGGTTATTTCTTTATTTAGCCCCAAAACTTGTATTAATTTTACGTTTTGTTATTATACTAAGCTGAAGACTGACTACGTTGTGACTAAAAAGAGATTATCTTGACAACGTGAAAAGGCAAAAGCATGTTTTCAACAACTAAATAAACAGAATTAGTACAAGGTATCACTATGCATCTATCGACTCCTGGCGAACATCCTAGAGGCAAAACGTACCTGTTTTCATTCGAAATAGAAGTACAAAGAAAGCATACAAACAACAAAAAAAAATCCGTTAAACTAAATTGAGTTCGTGAGACAGCAGATGATAGCACGATTGTAAAACCAGTTATTATGGTGATCTGTGTTATGACTCGAACTTGGTTCAATGTGTCAACTTTGCGTCAGAAACCAACATACCGGGCTGCGTTTAAATCTGTGCCTGTACTATGTAACTTTACTCCCACAAGCCGTACAATAAGTGTTGTTGGTGGGACCTTCAGCAGCGACCCCCCTGGCCAGCATTATATAACCATTCAATGCAGACTAAACAAGGTCCTTTAAACTACTTCGAGCTTTGTTATCGGCACTCTGAAGCCTCTAGAAATGATTACCGGGTGACATAAATACTTCGATACTGTTTGTTCTTTATAATGGCTCATTACTTCCTGTTCTATAATGACAAATGGAACAATTACATCGGACAATTACAAAATCGAGAATTTGGGTCTCGCCCAAGAGTGATTACCTTTGTGTAGATTTCGTACATTTCCTGGAAGAACGTTTTAATGCCTTCCTCATTTTTAACGTTATGTAACATTAAGAAACGCATCTCTGAAACACAATTGTAGGCACTATTATAAACATCGATATTATAATAAGTGGACTGGTACGATAGGGAATCGATGATTTCCAATGTAACTCTCATAGCCAGTGGCGGATATAACTAGTGAAATAACTAGAGAGACACGTGCAATGTAATAAATGTGGGCTATATATGAACAGAAAGCGACGTTTTTTTAGAACCAACGGCGCAGTTTACGATGTGCTACGGAGGACAAGGATAGGGCAAAACTTACAATATACCATTGCCAAGTGGACATATGACGAGTCAGCATTCGTTATATAATATAGATCAACTTAAACCATATAACTATGTATCGACTCACTGCTCGCTGTAACGAAGGCGGAAACGCTCCATTGATTAAATTTGTCGACACATTTTAAATACATGGAGGAGTTCTGCTGCGCGTGCAGATCAACGAGATCGAGTGCTGCATGGGCCACAAATTGATTTAGGTAACGTCCGTTGTCCTCGCGCTGAAAGAGAATGCGGTCGGTTAAATTAAAACATAATAAAAACCACAATTTGCAAGTGCATTTATGTTAGATAGCAGTCTTATGATTATATCAGATGCCAGTGACTGAAAATTTTAGATGACTTCGTAGATATCCGAGAACGAATAGTGGTTCAGAAAAAAAAAAAAAAAAACTGTACAATGAAAACCATTACATTGGCGAAATTTCCCAAGGAAAATAATAATAACACATTGACAAAATATTAGAGAGACGGGTCTATTTATGACAAAAGGCATTTCTTTTTCTGCTGGAACTAGTACTTGAGCATGTGGTTTTTAAAGGTCGAATCGTCCAATCTGCACACAGTAGGTTAATGGTTGCACGACTGATTTCAGACACGTTTACTTTTTTTCTCTCAAAAGGCTCAATATAAATTTCATTATTCCCGCACCTCCTTTTAGTGTCTCTCATAAAACTGTCACCTAGAACCAGACCGCCAGAACAGAAATGATGAAACAGAAATGTATGATTGACGCTCTAATTGCACTAGGTCACGTAAACCACAGTGTAACGTGATTGCTTGATCAACATCAAACATTAACGCCTGCTTATTTAACGCTTATCTGTATTTTTGAATCGGACTTTAACTAGAAATATGTTTGAAGGAACTATCTCCGCTTCTTTCCTATCACAAGTGGCGACACACAAATAAGCTGGCCTGTCTTGTCTGTCTGCGGAAATAAATGAACAGTAGGACTAAGTCGATTAGCCTGAGATATAACGGCATCGCGCCTTTAATTTATGGGTTTTTCTGGTGCTACGCTGCAGTTCAATATTCTCAATCGCACAAACAGAAATTCAATTATTAAATTGGTAAAATTTCGTTTAAGGGTTATTATCACTATATAGCACTATCACTGTGAGCGAAGCAACAGAAAGAATTATCAAAAATATTTACAAGTCGTTCAGTGGTTCGCTGAGATATGCATTACACAGATGGTCCACCGAACTGCGAATAAATTTGCCACAATATCTATATGATTTCAAACAGTATTATATTTGCTAAACATTACGGATATCTTACCGATTATTTGGATCAAAGCTAATTTTCAATGATCAAAAATGACCAATGTACCAATGACGCAAAATTAAATTGAAACAAGGCATTTTATATACGCATTGAAGGATCGATAGCCACTAAGCTTAGCGTCAAACGCATGAACACAATCAATAGCCCGTTCTTTTTTCTGCGTGAACATTTCCGATAATTGTGGGCAATCGATTAAAGTTTTCTACGAATTAAATGGCTATAAATAGAAATTAAGTAATACTTAATTAAAAGTTACTCTACAATCAAATATATACGCGTTATTTTCAAATGACCCCATACGATCTTCGTGATGGCACACTGGGTCACGTGTTTAACCGCTAAACTTTAGGACACATGGTGGCTTAGGTTAGAATTCGGGCATTTCGTTTTGTGCTGAGAGCCAGCCTTCTAAAGTTTGTCCAGGGCCATAAGTACAGAACGTAAAATATTTTTGTAAGTAAGTCGATAACTATTCAACTATATCCATACAATCTAACAGAACATTGAGATACGATGCAAAATGTTAATTCGATAACGCTTCAATTTCATCTCCGCAGTGTCACAACCGATCAAAACCATCAAAATTACACTGAATAGCAACAAATTCCACGCGTATGTCTATTTGCGCTTGTGTTACAACACTCACACACCTTTTCACCTTTCGATGCAAACTCCATCTCGAAGATGGGATTGTCATGGTGGCCAACAATGACGAAATAATATGTCGTCATATTTCTGCCACTGCGATTAATCAGCCTTACTACGACTAGTATGCTTTTCGTCGAACCTACAGCAACAGCAGGCTACACCGATAATCGATCAGGACAAGTTCGAATTCCGAAAAGTTCCACTTATTATTTGCTACCAAATGCTCCAACACGGGTGCATACCTCCTCCTGTCAGCTATTTAGCGGTTGACTTTGGATACGCCAGATGTGCCAGCCGTTCTCGGTGAGAGTGTATCCTGTTCTGTCTGTTAGACACTAAACTCTTTTTGTAGCCTAAAATCATCTGGCCGTATCCCGTTTCCATGGTGTTGTTGTCGTAGTTGGACTCGGCTGGCGATCATAGTTGGATACACCGCGTCTGCTCTATAACCTGCCCGGTTGTGCGGGCGGCCAATGCAGATATGCGGGCCTCATAGATCAGTTTGTGAGTATTCTTCCAGCGTAATCTTGACGTTCGGCCTAGTGCAAGTCTAATTCGATTGAGTCAGTTTATGAATAAAGTCAACAAAGCAGCAGGCCACAGTTACTTTCGGGACCTGTGTTGTTGCGCTCTCTTCTCACTAACGCGCGTTAGTATGAGTTTATTGTTACAGGAATAACGACAGCGGCAGAAGCAATAACTAGGCGCTGTACCGTCCATGCCCTTGGGTTTTTTCGCTTCGAAGACGACCGACGCTACGGTTGTGCAAAATGGAGTGGAGTTGACTGTATCGGCGGCTATTTCATGCTGCTGTTATTGTTCCAGGCCGTCCAGTTAGGCACCCCACTAACCTGCTTTCTCCCAGAAGTGTTCGGCCAAAAAGAGCACGACTCAGCGGCGCCCGTGTCGCTTCTATGTGCACCGCGGTCGCGGTGGTACAGTTTCATCGTGGACGATTGTGGATCTGCCCGCTAGAGGTCGTGAGCTTGTTGAGCATTTGCCACGAGCGATTTAGAACTGAGCATTTATCTTGTGAAAGGTGCAATATCAATGCTGTATAACAGGTAGAAAAGTGTTAGAGAGGTCGATTCTTATGGTGAGACAGTTTTTGGATGTTCAGTGTTGATTAGCGTTTATCGTAGAGGCTAAAACCCTTTAAAACAGCGATGCGCTGTGGACGTGTTTCAGGTTGTCAGCATCGCGTGGCGTAGTAGTATAAACCGAACACGTGAATCGTATAGGATCGGTTGGTAATGGTGTATTTATTTCCCTATGAACGTGTTGTGAACGAATAGTATTAGGAGTGTTCGGGATAATCCATTCCTGAAAGCCGGGAATCGTCCTTTGTTATTGTGTACCTTTTTGGGGCTTTCAATACTGGGTATCAAATGTGATGTGCGTCTCCGTATGACTGATAGCGTGACTGCATACGTAGATGTATGAATGGAGTAGACTCGTTCAACCATGGTATAGTCCTTGTTAATTTCATCTGCGCTTTTCCTATGTTAAGTTGCTCTTTTGAGGCCCCACAAGACAAATAGAAACTATATATGAGGCCAGCATCAAAAATGATGAGTACTTTCGCGCTCGTTCCTGATCATACACGGTTGTGCGTTTATAAAAATACGTAAGAAAATAGGATACGGCCCTCTCTTTTTCGAAATTCTTTCAGAGAACTATTCACTGTCAACTGTATATTTCATATATCGATTCGTAAATGTGTTGAATATGGAGGGATCATTAAGTAATGCTTACGTTGTTCTGATTACCCATACTTTTCTGATTATTGTTTATTTTATAAACTGTTTGATGATGGCAACAATGGATTGTTGTTGTGGTAAATCTTTAAGTCCTCTGTTTTCTGGCTATTTTTGGAATCATTGCTGCAAAATGCCATTGGATAATGATCATGTAATGCTCAGTTAAGCGCGACTCCGCTTGTCGTTGTCACCACAATGATAATGCCACATATCTGGCTAGCTACCCAAAACGAGACTACCCAAAAAAAGAAAGACAAAATTCTTACGTTTCCAATTCTGCTGCATTACTGTAGCACCACTGATTTTCATCTCAGTTATCGCCGTCAGTCGTCAGCGCCCAACCCGTAACAAGAGAACAAAACGGCATCCTTAGTAGCAAGACAAGGGACACACCAGCATGTACCATACACCTGCCATCTCCATACACAGGCATCCTATCATAAAAGAGAAGGGTACGTACACATGCATGTACCGACATAGATACATTCATGTACACATGCATATAGAACTATATACATGCCACAAAAGTGCATATACACATGTACGTACAATGGAACGCATTCAAGCTTACATACACTCAACACGCGTCAGCCGGTGGCGTCGCGGCCTCCGCCGCGCGTACATGTTCTGGAGACCTTGTGCGAGCCCACACATAGTATTCTATATATAGCCGGAGTGCCCGTTATGGAGTGCTAAATGGGGGACTGTTTTCGATGGTTTGACGCGCCATCCGGTTGGCGACCACGACAACGATGACGGCTGGCTTACGGCTCCTTAGCCGCTGTTACTGCTGCTATCGGTCGATGGTAGCATGTGGCTGTGGTGGTGCTCGTGGTCACTTTATGTCATTCGTGGCAGAAACCCAACACACGAATGACCGCGAATGCTTTTTTTTTTCTACTATTTATATGAGTAGTACATCAATAGAAAGTTTCGAAGTCAATCCCGATATCTACATCTATGAAGCGGTTAAGTATCCGCGCAATGGCGGGAACGCCAGTGGTCAGCGGCTGCGACAGCTACGGATTACGTACGTATACAGTGTTGATCTGCATAACGCCGCTCTCCTACCCTTTGTGTTACTGTCACCGTTTTGGAGAATATGGTACAGCCGCAGCAGGACGAAGTGGTAAGCCATTAACGGCGCTCGTGTAGACCGCTAGACCAATCGGTGTCCATGGGCCGCAGGTTAAGAGGAGTGTGAGGAGCAAAAAAAAAAAAGAAAAAAAGGGTATCGTAGCAGCAGTGTCGCTAGTGTCGTTGCTGCGGCTATTTTACTAAAAATCGAAGGTGATAAGGCTGCAGCAACAACAGTGCCAGTAAGAATTCGATTGGAAAAAAATCGCTTTGTCAAATAGAGCAAAAAAAAACAGAACGAGAATGTGTTAGAACGTATGCTATTATATTGTCGTTGCGGCTATAGATCGTGTCTTGGTCAATTATTTACCTCTAGCTTTTTCTCACTTGCTATCCTGGGCGTTTGATGACTGCGCGGGGAAGATCTGCATTTTTTGCCTCTATGAACGTATCGCTCTTCGGTGGGGATATGTTTCATGACGAGTGTGTACGCGTGCGTGCCCGTCTACTTGTCTGTCCGTGGACCGCAGTGTCCATTCGAGAAACTATTACTCAGCATTGACTGTCGCTATTACTACTGCTGGACTAATACGAATAAAGCAACTAAAGCAGCGAACCAGCAGCTATGAAAAACAGGCAACTCTCTTATTTTAGCTTGTCGCTCCATGCAGAGTCTGTCGTTTCAGCCGGACGGCCGTCGCTAGTGCTGAGACGAGCGCGGCTGCGGCGATGGCGGTGGCGAGGCCGTCTTCGTTACGGCTCCGTGCTCCGCCTTTCCATGGTTGGATCCGATCCGCCTTCGCCGGCGCTACGGTGCCTGTCATAGTTGTGTGGCTACGGCTATTTGTGGTCTTGCCATTGCCACCGTTGTTGGGACACTGGTAATGGTGATCGTGTGGTATTGTTGCTAGTAGTCGAATGGTTATACGTGAGCGTCGTCTTGGCTTTCGTTCGTCTAAGCCCGTTGGCTGACTTGCTGGCTTGATTGCCCTTAGTTTTTACCTCCCTTCCTCCCAGGCGAAGAACGCGGCGTTGGGGCGACGCTACACTCATCACGGCTTCTGACTGACGAAGTCGTATTTTGTGACTGAGTCAATTGTGCGGTACGCCGCTGAGCGGTTGGACGTTCAGCAACAGCCACTGGATGTGGTTGGCAAAGTGCGTCACTACCCTACCAAGCATAAAAGTTTACTAGATTCAGGGGGCAGCTTAGTACCGGCGACGACAAAGGGCCAAACGCAAGCGAACGTTGAGTGCGTTGCTATTAAGACTGTAGGGTGCGAACATCGCCACTAGAACCAACGAGTGTGTTGATCACTAGAGCTTCTTTGTACTCTCTTAAATCTCTCTTTTTCCGTATCTCCGTAGAGGCGTCTCTTCTTTGCCTCTATTCAGCATTGACAGTCGGCCTCCTACCAACAAAGTCTGCTGGGCTTGCGACCAGGCTATCGCGTGCAGCGCTGCCGTAGAGTTAGTTCGCCTGTACGCCCGCCCGCTCGTTTTCCCCCATGTATTTTGCACGCGGATCCTCTAGCGTACCGTACTGTCTTCCTCAGTTGTAATAACAATTGACTTCGTAGTGGTAGTGACCTGAATTTCTCGTTTGTCTTTGACTGGCCTCAGCTATATAGCTCGATAGAACGACGGTTTAACAGGCGGCCGCGGTGGCGCATCCCCACCAGCCGACCCAGTGGGGCTGTAAGGACACAAAAGCACCAAAGAGTGTTCTAAGCTTTTGCTGGTACAGTCTATTGGCAAGAGCATCGCTCTTGCCTCTGTTCTGTGCCTACACTGCAGCCGTTGCTGCAGCTTAATCCTCCAAGGCACCTCAACATACAGCGAGAAACAGTGCGAGCGCTGAACTAATAGTCGGCTGCGCCGTTCAACGCGACCATACGAAAGATACACACGGCGATAGTGTAGTCGTATTAGCCAGGTGATAGGCGAGGGGCGAGTGTGATTGCCAAAGTAAAGGATAAAATAAAAGGAGATAGACGCAGAGATACAGGCTGGCAGACAAAGAGAGCGCAGGAGAAATCGTGCAGCGCGCAGGCGGTTCGGCGTAGTGGTCTACGGTTGCATCTGTAGCGACCTTGTGACTTCGAGACGCCTTCGGACTCCGAGCCGGCGGCGACCTTTGGCGCGGAGTTGCCGCCCGCTGTTGTTTGGCCGTTGTCGGGTGGACGGCGGAACGCTTCGGAGACTTCGCGGCAACTGACATTATTGTCCTGTGTGTAGTTCAAGTGTGCCGATCGATGTGTTTAGGCAATATAGAGACTGCTACGGAAAAGGATAACTGCAACGTTACACGACAACGATACGGCAACGTGACTAAGATATCATTTAAGCGTGATAGGGAATCTTATATTTGCCGCTATTGACTTGTGATATTGTTGTTTAGTGTGACGTCTTCGTTTGTTTTTGTTATCGAATTTGTGAGTCAACCGTTGTCACCGTTACTGGTAATTTTTCTAGTTCCTGTTTCGTTGTTGTTGGTGTCCCTTTGCAGTGTTCCGGCCGTACGGCCGTTGCGCCTCCGAGCTAGCCACCATTATTGATATCAGCTTCGGCAGAACCCCTGATGGAGAACCTCGACAATCTCCTCGCTGACCTGCAGTCGTCCCGGCGCGACTATGAGGTCAGCTACAAACGATCAGGTAGTATGGAGCGACGCGAAACCAGCCCCCGAACAACGACATCCAGCTCCGTGGTGGATCGTCCCGTTACCCCTGTGCAGATCGTGCCAGAAACAGCGACCAAAGATCTGCAGTACACTTACCAAATGCATGATCCCATCTACCAGAATTCGCACGTGATCAAAGAGACCATCACCGCACACGGTACGTCTGAAAGGGCTCAGTCGCCGATTCGTGCGGCCAATAATCTTTCTTATCTAGACTCAATCGTGAATGTGGCCGATGTTACGCCATTGACCAATGGTGGTACTGCATATGAGACCACTTCCGAATATATGATCCGCACGGAGCAGATGTCTTCCCGTCCCAAGTCCCCTGTGTATACCTCACATCGCAGCACGCACCATTACACTTCTGGCTCGTCTAATTCTTTGCCTCGTGCTCGTTCACCCTCGTCCTACCGTGCTAAGTCACCCTGTCCTAAGGTGAACCTCAACCACGAACGCATGGTCGATGAGTTGAAGTCCACCATCCCAAAAACCACTGGTCGCTCCGGCTACTTTGTGCACGATTCTCACCGCGATGAGTACTCGCATCGTAAGTACACCCAAAGCACTGAACCAGCTCCTACACCGCAATCTTACAAAGTTTATTCGAACACAGATAACCGTTCGACTTCTGCGGGAAGCCGGCCGTCGAGTCGTCCTCGAACTCCAACTAATCCGCATGGATCAAGCGCTACCCAGGAGCTGGACAGTCTCATGGCTTCGCTTTCCGAGTTCCGCCTTCGCGACCCGTATTACTCGAGCAGTCACTATCATCAGCCGCAAAGGAAAGAGGCCCGTACCCTCGTCACACCTACCTCCTCACACTCGACGCACTCAACACCTAGGCCGCGCGATTCGGCTCTTGACTCGATGCTTGGTTCTCTTCGTGAGGACATGAACAACCAAGGTGTAAATGCCGGTGCCGGCAAAGGATGCTGTGCGGCCTGTAAGAAGCCGATTGTTGGCCAGGTAGTGACAGCTTTGGGCCGCATGTGGCATCCGGAGCACTTCGTTTGCTCCCACTGCAATCAAGAACTCGGCACACGCAACTTCTATGAGCGTGATGGTGAACCTTACTGTGAGCAGGACTACCATAATATTTTCTCACCACGTTGCAGTTACTGCAATGGGCCAATTTTGGATAAGTGCGTGACGGCCCTCGACCGTACCTGGCATCCAGAACACTTCTTTTGCGCACAGTGCGGCCGTCAGTTCGGTGAGGAAGGCTTCCACGAGAAGGACGGCAAACCGTATTGCCGAGAGGACTACTTCGCTATGTTTGCTCCAAAGTGCGCGGGCTGTAGTATGCCCATCACAGAGAACTACATTTCGGCGCTGAGCATGCAATGGCATCCCGAGTGCTTTGTCTGTCGGGATTGCTTGCAGCCGTTCCAAGGCGGCTCGTTTTATGACTACGAGGGACAGCCATACTGTGAGACTCATTATCACGCCAAGCGAGGCTCGCTTTGTGCTGGCTGCCACAAACCCATCTCGGGCCGTTGCATCACGGCCATGTTTCGCAAGTACCACCCAGAACATTTCGTATGCTCATTTTGTCTGAAACAACTCAACAAAGGCACCTTCAAGGAAGAAAATGACAAACCTTACTGCCATGATTGTTTCGAAAAACTCTATAGCTAGAGGAACTGATGTACAGACAATGCGGAATAGGCTGGTGGCGACCAAGAACCCACGGACGATGTTCACATCATGGACTACGTGCACTTCAGTTTAAGTAAAATGCACGCTATTGACAATAACGAAAAGTTAGTGTCAACAGAATTGATCTTCACCGCAGATCAGAACAAAACCGGCATAACAATGTCAGCTAAGCAAAAATGGAGACTTAGCTCGTCGAAAACCACTCTAACTGTGGTGTCGTACATGGAAATAAAATCGCATACCTCAGCCATTGCTCCGTGGTGTTTCATCAGCCAGCTAACCAACTAATGTCAGCGATTTTTAGCCTAAGGGCGTGCAAGAAGTGTCAAACAAGAATGTAGCTACGAAAGAGAGATCGAAAACTCGCCAAAAAAAACTATTGCATCCGCAACAAGTGTGGTGGTATTCATTTAAATGATGGATATTCATGATGGATATGAGCGGCTTTCGGACGTATCGAGCAGAACATATTTTGAGCAGACGAACGCACCTTGATTGGCGGCCCATGTCGACGTTGCCGCCACAGATTGACTCGACTCGATTCACGATGATCTAACTAAATAGTGGTAATAATAATAATTATAAAAGTAACAACGATTGATGTAATTGATTGTTGTAACTGAGAAAAAATTATACATATAAGATCTACGAACGTTACTTACATATATACATATAGCGAAATAGCTGCACAACGTTGTAAAACCCAGGAATACTTCAAGATGTCGGCGAACGTAATAGTCGACTTAAGTTAACAAAGCCCGAAAAGTATCTAATTTACTATTGCTACTCTTATTCAGTGACCAGTGTCGAGAAGACAAGAACGAAACTTGGAGGAAACTGATAACTAAAATTCCGCTTCATATCCTATTAATGACATGAATCAATGATTGATTAATAAGTTAACTGATTGATCGACCGATTGCTAAACGCCAACAGGAAGACTGGTGCATTCGAAACGGTTCCACATAATAATGCCCTCCAACCTGAGCTAAATCAACTCCCGGAAGCAACGACGCTATTATAAATATCATTAGATAAGCAAAACGTACGTTGTGGGCTTCGTAATGAAAATTTGAATAGATGAATGGACATTAACAGTTTGTGCCTGCTAGCTATTCCTCTTAATTCGGCAGCAATGTCTAATGGCGTTGGCGTTTAGCATCATTTTCTAATTCTTGATAGTTTATTTGTGACGCCGACCAAGCATCACTGGTAGGCAAGGCCTGTCTATGGTGAGACCCCTATTGGCTAACTGATCTCGGCCAAGCTTTCGACGGGAAGAAGACGCCTTTTAACCGTTGAAGCGCTGGCCGAGATATCACAACGGAAGGTCTGCGACAAGGTCCCGAAAGCCTAATCTGGTCCAGTCAGTAGCTAGTCAGGCTCGCCTGCCTTCCAGCCAAAACCAAGCAAAGTCAAGACTACTGTCAAGCCATAAGGAAGGAGTTCGGACGTGCGCCTGTGCGGCCCACGGGTGACTTCTGCTGAAGGGCGGTGCCCAATAGCCGATGAACAACAACGACGTCAAAGAAGAAAAGAGCAGGGTCAAGAAAGTCTGTGGAGATATTACCAGATGAACGAGTGCGACAAAGATAACAACGGAAAGAAATGAGGAGTAAAGTCAGACTGAACGCTGGTTCGGTGCATCGCCCCCGCCTTGCCTTATTTTACGGTATGGGGCGAAACATCCATTTCGCCTTTTGCAGAGCTGCCCACTAGCTCTGGTAAACCACTCGCCTTTGATATGCAAAGGGAAACGCGTCACTATTCACACACAGATATCAGAGACACAGCTGGCTTTGTAATAACCGAAGAGAAATATAATGTACTGTAGTGACAGACGACGCCTATCTACCATGGCTGTCGTGTAAACAAACAGAACCATACTACGCGAAAGTTGTAAAGATTTTAATTTACGTTCTAACAGAGGGAGACTAACAAAGGGTTGTCTAGAGGAGTGAAAAATAATAGTTTATGATAAAGCGATTTTGAGTGTATGAAGAGGATTGAAAGGAAGTGACTGATAACACCGGATAATATAAGTTCTGGGAGGAAGAATGTGTCAAAGTCTCGGCGGGTGAAAAAGTAATGGTATATAATGATGGTAATCATAATAAAGAAAATGTGTTACCTGGTGTTTTCCATGTATACGATCTAAAAAATATTTGCCATAATCATGGGGCGGCGATCCTTCCCAATGTCTGGCGTACATTGTATCTCAGTGAAGGATGTCGACGAACAGAAAAGAGCGAAGAGAAGAAAGTCTTGTGCAAATGGGTCGAAGAAGGGCAGGTCAGTTTGTTAAGGACGGTGTGCAATCTTCTTAGGCATAATCTGAATAAGAAATATATCACTACAAAATAATAATAAGAAGAAGAGGAATAACAATAAGAAGAACAGGAGCAAGAAGAAAGAAGAAGCATAATGAAAGGAAATCAGAAGAAGCTTAATAAAAACAAACGAGATTTTATTTTGAAAGAAGGTATAAATGTCTTGAGCTCTTCAGAGCCCTAAAGCTTAGTGCTATGAAAGAATCCAATGAAGCGTGGGGCTGTTGTGCACATGTGGGCTATTGAACCAAACTTAAAGTTCTTTTTCAACAACCGAAGAGGCGTGGGTGCGTCTTGAAGATCGTTGTCTTTCTTTTTAACGATTTTGAGCTCTTTTTTACCTCTCAAAACGGCCTCGAAATTGTGAGTGTATCCGAATACTCGCTCCCGTGTATGACCACGCATTACTTGCCTCGACGCCGCCCCAGCTTTACTAATGCGCCTGCAAAACCCTGTGCGGATAGCTGCACAATTAAATGCAACCAATCACGAGGGTCGCCATCAGAGCTGATCATCGCAATTACCTATATACATAAATTTCTATAAATATACATCGAGTTGTACTGTAACAAATTCAACACAACGACAACAACAGCAACAAAAAATCGATATTGACAAAATAAAATCTGGTTATTAAACGTGTGTCAAGTATTTTTCTTCGATTTGCTTACGTGTTTCGGGTTCGTTTGTTTGGCGCGTTTTTCAGTCACCGTTGAATATTCTGTCGTTTTTTCCTCGTCTCAGGTTTTTTTCAGATATTTTTTGATAGAATTTCGGTCTCTGTAAATCCAGTGATGTTTTCGTTATAACCTTTTATAGTTAGGAATACGGAGCATCTTCATCTAGATATCATTCAAGTTCCTCCATTAAGTTGTACTGGCAGACCCATATAGATGTCCAGTAGAAAAATCTGCCAGTAGATTTTTAGGAAGCCTAGGAAAGTCACTCGTGAAGTTTTCGATCTTGTAAGCTCGATATATAGTTTAAATGGTCATTCCAAAATTTAAGGAATATTATACTATTTTTAGTGAAAACTCTAGGTGATGACGTTTACCGCGCTAAGGATACAATCGATGGCCGCTCTAAAAGTAATTAGCTATGTGTTAGCATAATAATACTGCCTCTTGAAGTTGTATAAATTGCGTTAGACGTTTTTTTGTGCGAAATTTGTGGTCATAGGCGTTTCCGGCCATGAATCCAAAGGCAACCAGGGTTTATCTGAGTGAGACGACGTACACGCTATACAATATTTGTTGAACATGCGAACAAAAGCAATCAATGTGTCAATAATTGTCAATAGAAGAGCTTAGTTTAATAACTGGTAGTAATGCAAAGAGCCTCTTTGAAACTAAACAATGTTTCGGCGAGATCGGCTGGCGGGTTTTCATCCCAAATTCTAAAGAAGTAGCTTACACGAATCGGACTCAGTTCATGTAATTTTACATACCACACAGTGCTCAAAAGCCTTTGCCAAAAAACGTAAACAAAAATGATTGTCTGCTTCCCTCCCTCTCTCTCTCTCTCTCTCGCTTATGTTGCATTGTAAAGACTAGATATTACGTAAGCGTCTAATTTTATGGTGCTTCTACCTGCAATTCATATTTCTTCGTATGTCACTTGCTATTGCAGCGTGTCGATGATCTCGACAAGATTCTGATATTGGTTTTCGCATAGCCACAATGATTGTTTTGGTCGTGCATCCGGTGTCCAGAAGTTCGTTATATTTATAAGCCTTTTTGCTCACGTAATTACAGTGGCAGTTTCTGCTGAACTGCTCAACACTGAGTGGACCTATTAACGCATGCGTTTGTGTTCGATGCAAGCGACGCCCGTCTCACATCATCATCAGCTAGAAGCAGTCGTATGGGAGGGCAAAGTGGGTTTCATATCGGTGGCTAGCTTAAGTCACGCTCGAGAGATCGCAACTGCGACTCAACGACGGGTTCATCCTCTGATGAGGTCCTTGCTTGTATGCTCGAATCGAGACCGCGAATCAAAGGGTCCTTTACTGCTGTTGCTTCTCTACTCAGATTGGGCAGAATCGTATTTGTTGGTAAATCTGCGATGGTACTATCGCGTCACATTCGGTTTGCTGACAGCACTCCATCCATTACTACCCCTGAGCAAATCTAAAGGAACGAAAGAACCGGACCTGCTGATTTTGCTTAACGCGACTGGCTCGATCTACAAGCTAGATGGCTGCACGTCTTACATCTGGAGGATCAGGATCAGGTAAGATCTAGCGTCGTGTGCGCTCTATAGCAAATTTTCTTAGAAACCATAACAACAGGTTCAAGCTGCTTCCTAGACAAGCGGAATTCGCGATTACATCTATTATATGTTGTTGCTGTTTATATTGGTCAGCGGTAAAATTATTCAGTAGAGTTGGTCTATCGACCTACATTATCACACTTAGGGTAGTAGTAATCACGAACTCTTTACGATTTATTTTGTGTCACACTTGACAGTTTGCCAAAGTGTTGCTTTGTATGAGATTAAGAGACACCGATGTGGGCAGATTGCAGTGATATGCTTTGCCATTACAGGTACGTGTATACACACATATTATAGAACTAAATTGAACGTTCCGATCTAAGAACTCGTCCTGTCGTTCTGACTACCGTCTCGGTTCTTTGCCTGCTTCTGTTATGGTATAGATGCTGTTGGGACCATATCCATACAGTTAAACCTAGCAAACCAAACGGACAAACTAAGCAGGCCGCCCGTTTTGTTCAAGAATATAACGTCGTTGCGTGTACCCCCGCCGACTTTCTGGTATCTTGCTCATCTCCAGAAGCTTTTCGTAATAACTTTGTTTAAGTTCGTCAGCGACCTTGTGTGACTAGTATAAACATTACATACACACACCCACAGATCACCGTGACGAAACTGGCTAGTTTCTAGCTGCGGCTTAATATATGCGCCGAGCTGGGTTGAATCTAGGTCTGTGATGGCGGCTTGTTGACTTAAGGTGGCGTTATGAATGGACAGCAGCTGGCAGCGTCTCTAGAGAGGCCCATAGCCGTAGCTATTACAATTTTTTGGCCTGTCGGCCGACTCGAGCATCATAGAATGATGATAAACAAAATGCAGAGGCAAAAGAAGAAGAGGCCAATACAGCATCTATACATCTAAGAAAGATTTGTTTCAGTCGCTTTCTTTATGAATGCGAGTATGCACTGTGCACACTATATGTTGTGTGTATTTGGTACCTGATTGCAATTCTGTGAATGTATAGGTAGCTATGGTGGAAAGCTGGTCTCGCTAAGACGGCCAGACAAGGAAAACGGTGAGACCCAACATACGTTCTCATTGGCGTTGCTGTATGTCAACCATTGTAACCTTTAGCGCCGCCGTCTGGGTGTGGAAACTGACTGAAGCATGCCGTGGCGAACCAAGTTGGCCTTGGCCCAGCGATAGCAGCACTGACAGCTTAATCAATTACGTACGTACCCTCGTGCATAACATGGTCTGTACTATTTGCAGTAACTACTATTGCTCACTAGAACCGCACACAAACACCCATAAAAGGATGGACAGCTAGCTACATCCTCGACTGTTCAACGCCGTCTGGGCCACAGCCGTTGAGCCTCTCACACAAATGCTGGGGAGACGTTTGACCCACACACCCAAATTCGGCGAAGTATACTTTTTCTGGATGATCTCTGTAGGCCTACTTCCCAGTTTCCCATGTATATATATATATAAAGACACGCAAGGAGCCATTGCACATCGATGGATTACAGATAATCTGTGAGTTGTCAGGATACCTGCAAGGGTTTCCAGGCATTATTGCAGAATTTGAGTCTTAGGTCGCTTTGACCATTATTACTGTCGACTTAATACGGATGGGGCGCCCGATCGCCATACGCGCCTGACGTCCTGCGTAGGCTTGTACAAGTAACAGCAGCAGCAAGAGAGTCAGCCGCTGAAGCAAGGGCCGAGACCGCATCGTGAGACGTGGGCGTCGACCAAAGCATTACCCGCAGTTAAGAGCGACTCATGCAGGTGGTCATATGCCAAGCAAGCGTGCGAAGCAAACATGGGAAGACCGGCCCGCAAACTGCCCGCAAGCGGAAGGCTTGCACGTGAGATAGGCCCAGCTATGGTTGGAAGCGGAGGACGACGAACCACAAGAGTATACTGGGTGTATAGAAGTTACAGAAAAGATTTTTGCGTCGATGCGATTTTTAGCTAGTGTTTAATTAGAGCGGCAAGCAGGTACAGACACGATGTGCTGTTAAGAGCAAGTCGTCTGTCATCTGGGTTAACTAAGGTAATAATCAGGACCAGGATTTTGTGAAAAGGCTATGCGGGTTACAAAGTTGAAGGGGCTAGTGAGGACTAATCAAAAATAGGAAAGGAAATAGAATTAAAATTCGTTAAGTAACTAATTGTAGTTATTTAATAATAAATAAAAGAATTATTTAATAATAGCCCAATCACATTATATGCGAATGGGCTGCACACCCTCTTTAACTTTGGCTTTGTCGAAAAATATTATGCTTCATTTTGAATGTTTTCGTTATAAATTTATGACGGATTCATTTGTTGTATCGACGAGAACAAACGAAGGTTTACTGAACTGAATAACGTGCGAGTGTTAATCAAGAGCCTCAAACTTAAATTAAATGTTAAGCTTTTTTAAAGAGCTTAACATTTAATTAAAGAATGTTAAGCTCTTTCTAGATACTGAGATAAAATATATAATCGTTATAATATCGAAAGTTGGCAGGTCGTGAAATGCACCTGATCACGGAACCGTATTTGCTGTCGGGGTGAACTTTAAGCCTTAGCTCAATGATCAAACGAAACATCAGCTCCCATCTGCTTAGCACTGGGTGAAGAATCAACTGCTGAATCGGCATGGCCTTCAGGCAATACTGAGATGCATTTCGTGATCCGACAACTACGATTGTACGCGTACAGAATATACGTTCACCTGTTTACAAAGATATAGGAGGAATTATCGACACCCGTCATTCAGGTTAGATTTAACACTGTTTTACACTGAGATAAATCATGAAAAATTCTTTAGTGTAGTTTAGTGAACTAAATAAACCTGTTCGCCATCATTGTTCGAGGCTTTGTTTACTTCACACACACCCCCTGAGATAAGCACTCGACCACCGAGGTTTGAATACGTTGTGGCGAGACCTAGTTTTTGAACCTAATTCACTATTAATTAATATATTATTATTAATTAATAGTGAATTAATAATAATAGTGATTAATATATTATCAGCTCTAACTATACTGATGACGTGTTCCTTGGCGTATATTAAGTTTTCCTCGGTATATTTACCTAGACATAACTAGCCCGCTATTAAATATCTCTTGGGTTTTTCGAAACTCGTATTAAGTGGAAGAGCAAGTTGCCGCATGACCAGAAACCGCATCCTAGCCTAAACTCTAATTGCTCAACATTAACATTATATGATATAATCAAGTTGTATTATATAGGTAAGTTATATACAGTGGCGTTATAAACCACGGCTGTTATAGCACTAAAGCAATCCATATGAAATGAGCATGACGGATCTTTCGGAGATGACGCAGCAGTAGTGAAAAAAAAAGACATTTTTTCAGGGTAGCTTTCTGGCAGTCATTGTAACTTGAAATGGGCGGCTCGACGGATACTAAGGAACTTATCTTATGAGGTTCAAATAGACCTCCATTATACTAATCCAGATGAAGTGCATACGATGTTCACGTCCACACGGAGACAGCTCCGTCTTCTGCTAACGTTCAGTTATTAGAGCAGCTCATGAGTAACCCTTCACTTCATAAATAATAAATCGATCACTTGGCCAACATCAATCACTTAATAAGCCAGTATCTTTTGGCAAGACGTCAATATAGAGTGTACTTCTAAAAGTATTGGGCGTTGCTAAAAACATCAGTAGTATTTTCTGTATAGACCTATTGAAGTAGTGAGAAATCGTTCAAGAACAAGGACGAAGAAGCATATAATCCTACCTTAGACTTGTGTAGTGACTTTCTGTCGAAAAGATAGTTTTAGTCGACCACCGTGACTGAATCTGGTAGTCGCCATTAGGAAAAACATAGTACGCCATGAAGAGTTTCGTCAGACCGAACATCTGTTGACAGGATGTCTTACCAATGAATGAATCTTGTAGCCAATCTCGTCTGTCAGTTAGAGCGAAAGGATACGAAAATTGATTTTAACGAACTAACTAATTGCTACTATAGTACGCATTAATACTGAGCATATATGCGAATCAATCAGATTCAGCTGTTCTTATTTATGGGATACGATAACCCTTTCATTGCAATCGAGTTCCATCATATAGGACAGCAGGATATAACGAAGATACATATCTAAGAGTTTCAATGGGTTGACGTTCCGCCTCTCAATATTAGCCATTGATCTCTATAAATTTTGAGACCAACGAAACATATAGTGATAAATCTGCGTGGCCTATATATAGATATGTACGTCATTCCTGAACGGTTGGCTGAATGTTTTCCTCAACACTTATATGATCTAATCCTTTAAAAAAACACAGTATCAGTTTCTTAACAAGCTTTCCAAGAATAACATAGACTCGTGATTAAGTAAACCACAGCAATGACTTATGAAATTTGTGGCATGAGTAACTGGCGCGGCCACGCTAGCACTCTTTCGAAATCGTCATCCGTGGCCTATATGGACGGGGTGGCTTACATAACCTTAATCAGGTCGGGCGCTCTTATACAAGCGTTTTGTAAGGCACATGTACAGCTTGGCGATGTCAAAGCCATTTCCGCCATCGAGTTTGCGAACAGTAGAGTTATTCACGTATAATTTCTTTATTTGCATAAACTGTGTAATATTTATGTGCTGTCGGTGGGACGTCGAGCGTTTTTCAACCTAGGTATTGGCCGTCCGCTTGTTTGGCGGCGCCAAAATGTTGGGACTATAGGGTAGTCTAGCTACGGGCTTAGCTCAACAGTGAGGACAGCAACATGGCAGCTGTCCCTGTAAGTTTTTAGTTAATGTGTATTTATTATGAATATCAAGCATGTCTACCAGTTCGTTTTATGACACAGATATTTATTCCTACGCTAATGATTTCGTTTTGAAAAAATCGTATTTGATTCTTGAACGCCACCGTAAGTCAAGCCTTTATTCTGCTGGCTCGTTACCTTCGCGCAACATCTTGCCGTTTCTCTTGACAGCCAGCGCTTTATAGGTGGTTCTATTTAACCTCATCAGGTCGTAATTAAGA